GGAGGAAGCCATGAACTACTCTGTGCGCGGTTGCAGCTGGCTCTGACATTGATTAAAACAATCAACCACATGCCCCAACTTTGACCTGTCAGTGGAGCACATGGTGCTGCTGCTTGAACACAACACTTTTAAGAAACAGTAATAACCCTGGGGACTGGAGGTAGCATGTGTTTGAGAGGCACATGGAAGGAGACATTGATGAGGACACGCTGGAGACGTGCTCTTGGAGGAAGGCCCTCTGTGCTAGATGATGCTAAAACTAATTAAGTGAGATTACCCTACCTGATGTTGTTTTGTCAGCAGCAATGTTGTCACAAAGCCATGTGGGACCCTGGTCATAGATTTTGCTGTGTTGACTCGGGTAATGATCGTAGCTTGCAAATTGGCCTGAGTTTCTTATAATTTAATCTTAAAAGTCCTATTAGTTGTAAAAATCTAAATTGTGGCATTCACAGTGTGTTAAACTCATACTTGCATGTCAATACACAGTTGTTGCATTTAACCCTTTGATATATAAACATTGCTCTACCTGCCAAACTTTGTGTTTTCCTGGCCACGGCGAAATGACTGTATGTTGTGCTGTAGCTGAGGCAAAATAAATTATTGATGGCTTAGTAGATGCAAATAGAGAATTTGCAATAGAATATTTATTATGGGAAGATTCACAGTATCCCTAAGGCACAAAAGAAGTTATATCTTGTGCAGATGTGACAAACTTGTTTTCTACTGCTTTACAGGATTAGTTTTAGGCAGGATATGGCTGCTGCAGTCGTACTGTGTTGATTGAAGGATACTCTTCCTTAAGATAGATGTGTTTTTTTTATGTCTTTGGGCAATGATGAGGAAAAGTGATAACTGATTTCAAATTATAGGTGGTGGTGCCAAATTCAAGTACATGTTTCTTAGCACAACTCACTAGGTGGTTTTATTTGCGGTGGCTTGTATAATACTGCTTATAACTTTGTTGCTAGGAATTTTCCATGAGGATTGTTTGCCTCAAACTATTCTGTTTTGAATGAAACTGAATAATCAAATAGCTCTTTTCATGAATATAGCTAGTAAATATTTGCCTAAGCCAGATATGCAGACTTTAAATAGCAGCATTGTCATGTGTGTTGCAACATATCCACCTCTCTGATTTTTAAATTTCTAAATACCAAAATTGGAAGTTATAGTTGCAAGTGATGTCATTTCTGGGAAATGTCAACTGCCACTTTGCCAAACTATAAGTTTATCAGTTTATAAGATTTATGTAGGTTCAAGTTAGTGAGTTAGTGTTACATAGTTGAAGTGGTGAAGCACTTTAACAATAAATATAATGGAATTTATCAGTTCCTCAGATTTTTCTGTTTTCAGGCACAGCTGGTGTTGAATTTATTGAAGGAGATATATAACTAAACCTTGAATAATGAGGAAAAACTAAATGTCAAGTGGCTGCTCATTAATAGCCATTGTCTGTTTTTAATAGAAGGTGTCATAGAAAAAAAAAGTGTGCTCTTGTGTAATAAAGAGATCTGTAACAAAGCTTAGGTGCAATGAGAAGACCTCAAGCTGAACAGACTTTCATTTAATCATCTTTTTTTCAGTTTTTCACTGAAGTGGTCTACTGTCCTCTGCAGGACCACAAATAACGGATAGCTGCCAATTTAAGATCAGTATGGACCTCTGGAGGTATAGTCTAATCTGCTCACTCACACCACCATGAAGCAAGGCCAACCAGATAGAATTGTTTGTCTTGTTCAATTCTCTTGGAGTTATAAACTTCATAAACCTATGGTTGCTTCAGTCAAATAGAAGCAATTAAATCAAGTGTGTTTGTGTTGTATTTTAGAGTGGGGGGTTTGTGTGTTTTTTTGGTTTGGGGTTTTTCTTGTTTTGGGATTTGGGTTTTGTTTTTGTTTGGGTTTTTTGTTGGTTGGTTGTATTTTCTGGGGTTTTGTTTTGCTTGTTTGGGTTTTTTTGACTGCATTGTGGTAGTAACTCTTGTTATCCTCCCTCTTCCACTTTTACATGCTGTCTGCACCTTCTATTATCAGACTAGAGTGACTATTTTGTTCATACTTTGGGGAAAAAAGTGGTACTGGTGCAATGTTAATATGCAATCTCTTTCCAAAAAAGGCAATGGGCATCCTGCATACCCTTAAAAAGGTGGGGAAGGGAAGGAACCCAGCAAACAAGTGGCCAGTCTATCATTATGCAGATAATTCTGATCTGGACAATAAGGAAACAAATGCTGGATGCCAGACTTCAATTAACAGATTAGTTTGGACGGTGATGCTCTGATTGTTGCATATTATCTTAGTGCACAAACCCAAAGTACTGAATATCTTCAAGTTAGGCTTAGAAGCCTTAGAAGTGAAAATGGGCTCTTAAATCCCATGACAAGCTTATGAAGACATAATTGGTTCTAAGTGGTGCTTGTAGGAGCACTGACATGCTCTACCTGCAGCTGAATAGTTCTTAGACAAAGAAATCATCTGTCTTCATAAGTAGCAAAAAACTCTCTTCCAAGCTTGTCTTTTTTTGTTGAAGGACCTGATATCCAGTACAAAGAGAATGAGTAGAATTTGCAAGTCAAGTGATTAAAGGTTTGGAAAGTGGGTTTTAATCTATGAAGTTATCAACAATGTGTTAACTCATCTTGTTTCATTAATACATTGCTATGTTTTTCTACTAAGCAAAATTATGCCATTAAAGTCTTCAGTCTTTTAGACTAAACTTTCAGGAGAAAAAAAAAAAAGGTAAACTGAGGCTGCATATCTGTAATGTAGTTTACAGTGATTTTCTGTGCATGAGAAGAAGCCATAGAAAATTCACTACCCGATCATCTCCATCTATCTCTCTTCACGAGAGATTACAGATACAGTTGAGGATGCATTTAAACAAAAAGACAAGCAAAATTCCTATCTACCTATTTTTTAAGTGGTTGTGCAACCTCCATCTTGAGTTCAAAGCTGAATGAAGAGATAGAGTTCAGTCTGGAACTGAAATGTGCACAGTTGCAGTATGCCAATGTGCTCTTTTCTTAATTCAGAAATATGAGTGAAATTTTCTACTTAACCTTGATTTCAAAACCTTTTTTTTTTAATTTACTGGACATGCTCTGGTGGATATGCACAAACCTGGAAGTAAGGAAAAGTGGATTCATTTTAACTCTGTTTTTGAGTCAGCTGCTCACAAATAATTTCCCTTCCATGTGTCTGAGTTTTTGAGGTCTATTTTGGTAATATGTGCTGAGATGTCCACAGGAAGCCTCTTAAGCAAGGGCAAAGTGTATCAATTACTTCTACTAATATGTAGTATTTATTTGGAATTCAGGTTATAAGGAGCTTTAGTTGAACTGCAGTTTTGTAGGCAAGTGTAGAAGTTACCCATATGTGATTCCACGTGTATCTAATTATGTTGACTCTTTTCAGGGTTGCATGATACGTGTTGCTGATTGGTATATGATGGGGAAAAAAATAAATCATCAGCTGTAGTTTCTATCAGATTGGAAAATGTACCCAGCACGTTGCCTGTAATTTCTTCCAGATATGTCATCCCTGATGCAGTAGTGGGAGCTGGTTATTTTTGCCTCTTACTCTATAGCTCATGATACATTGTAATAGTGCTCAGAAAAGAGGTGCATCAAGCGGCTGAAGCTTTAAGATGTGTTTTTCCCGTCATACCTGTGGATTTGGTTCTAGGACAGGAATTTTAATCAAACTTTCTGAGAAATTCAGGGCCTGATTTTATAAGTGCTGAGTTATAAAATCTAGCTACTAATTCAGGGTGCTCAGTACAAGTGAGACTGTAAGCTCCAAATGCTTTTGCTTCTCAGCTTCTTCATCTGTGACAATAATTCCTCACTTGTGTGTCTGCCTTGCTAAGCTCAGATGGTGCTCATGAGTGTGGGAGGACAGTGTTCAGCTTTGAAGAGGTTTGGTGTTATCCTTAAATTTAAGGTCAAGGAATAAATTCCCAAGCTTACTGTAAAGACAAACCATCCTGTAAATATATTGACCAGATATCCAAAATTCTTAAGAAGCTTTGAGAAAAAGACAGTCTTCCATTGTGTGTGAATAGTCTTGAGCTGAAGACAAGCCCAGCCTTAAGGAGAGCTGGTGAATATTCCCTTTGGATCTCTATATAAGATTGAATCCCATGCTTCTGAAACAGGTGTGGATTGATTGTCATTGATTGTCATTTATCTTTATCTTAAGTGCTGGTTGTCTTTATTTAGGAATGTACTTCATTGAGTTGTGTACAGAAAAATTTTTTGGAGTTATTTATGCCTTTAGAGGAAGCTTGCTTGTTTGTTTGTAGTTCTGCTCTGATGTGTGTAGGAAGATGAGTATGTTCTGATTAACATACATGCACACTTAGATTAATCGCTTTAAGTGTTTGTGATTCTCAAGTCCATGCTCATTTGAAGGATGAACTTTCCATAAGGAGAGAATTACACTGTTTGTTATCAAGTCTAATGTTGCAAGGCTAATGGTGAAGGAACAGATATGTTTTGTCTGGTAAAAAGCTATTTCACCTTCATCTCTCCTTCCATCACAAAAAGTATCTAGCACTCAGATCCATTGCTCTACAAAGGAAAACTTGCAAGTCTGTAGAAGGAAGCATACATGTGTGAAGCTGAAGAGGGCAGTCTAGAGCAGTATTTCATGTGTCTTATATATGGAGTCAATTCCAATATCAAAGAGGGCCCAAAATGTCAGTTGTCACAAAATAGAAGACTTTTAGTATGTGTTGCTGTCTTCTGTTACCTGGTTGAGTCTGGAAACATATATTTTAATAATCTACTTGATTGTATTTTTCTAGAGTCTTGTTATGCTATCAATAGTCTGGCCAGTAGCAGGCATTAATTTCACCCTTTAACTAATTAAAAATGTATGCTTGCTTGTATTCTCTCAGCAATCATAGCCTTTTTACCAGAGTGGGCAAACAAGTAAATAACTAATATTAAATAACTAAATAACTAATAGTTATTTCTTTGGTTTTATGTTTTGTAGCTGGTGCCACGTATATATTTGGGAAGAGTGGAGGTCTCATCCTGTACACCTGGCCAGCTAATGACAGACCAAGCACGAGGACAGACCGTCTTGCTGTAGGCTTCAGCACAACGGTGAAGGATGGAATTCTTGTTCGGATTGACAGTGCCCCTGGGCTTGGTGATTTTCTGCAGCTGCATATCGTGAGTATAAATGGGCCCATGTCTATACCAGACCTGGGTTTCTGTTAATGAAATACACATTTGAAGAAAACTATTGCTATAAAATAATATGTGTCACACTCTGCACTTTCTTTAGCTTCAGCACATATTAAATTAACCTGCCTTAGCTAGTACTTTGGGCTTTTGTAGAATTACTGAATGGGATGCACAGGAAACCAAGTCTTGGTGCCAGAAGAAATTGGGGGAACACACCAAACCAAGGGGAAAAAAATAAAGACCTTAGGAGATACAATAGCAGTAGGGTTTAGGTTTATTTAAAAAATTGCATAAATATTTTGTGGCAGTGTTGATCTAATGTGTTATATACACCTTTCTGAATATAACTGCATTTATGGTGTAGAGCATTACTATTCTCAGAAGTCAGAGAATGAAATGGGTTGGGTTTTTGTCTCACTAAGAAAGTTAAGTGAGAACTGAACAGATCTTCAAGTTGATATAACTGATGCTTTAGCAAAATATTTCAAAAGCAGAAGAATATAATGTTTTTAGTACAACATGGCTTTGTAAAAAGAAAATACATATTTTTGTGAGAGCAAATATTAAAATAGAGTACTTGAATGAAGGTGACTTTAGGGAGAATTGAATTGTTTGAAGAAATGAGAACACTAAGAATGGAAACTTTTGAAATTTGTTATTTTTTGTGATTCTTTATGTGGTGAGTTGTTTACTTTGTTTTCCTTGGTAAATGAAGTAGCCAAGAAGTTTATTAGAGGTAGAAGCTGGTCATGTTACTTGATTCTCAGATTATTTTCAATGTCTTATTCATTAAGGGGAAAGCACCATTTGCAGGTTTTGAATGAGCTGGGGAGCTGTTGACATTTCACTGGATCTTGAAGATAAAACTAAATAGGAGGAATGCTGGGGCCCAAAACACAGACCTAATGTGAATGACTGAGGGTCTTAATCTGCTACTGAAATTTTCCATGTTCAGAATAATGTTAAGCACTGTGTATATTGCAGGGTGGTTCTGAAACAAGGGTCAGGGCTGGTACTCATCACTACCATTTTAAGTTTTGAATTTTATTTTAATCTGAATTGTATTGTGAAATTCAGATTTATTTGAATGGACTAGAATATGGTCGTTAGCCATTAGACTGTCAGTATGACTTGCATGGAGCCAGGGGAAACAGTCAGCAAGGCACCTGCTGGGCTGGATTTCCCAATCCCAGTATGGGGCTGGATGGGTGGTAGCGAACAGGTGTGTAGTGATTCCCCTATACCTGACAGTGTTCAAGGCCAGGTTGGATGAAGTTTTGGGCAACCTGGTTTAGTGGAGGGTGTTCCTGCCCATGCTGGGGGGTTGGAGCTGTATGATCTTTGGGGTGCCTTCTACCCCAAATCATTCAATTATACTATGAATTTGTTGAGTCTTGGAAAAAGAGGTCTAAGATGGGATCTTGCTCTTGGCTGCCTAATGGGATGTTACAGAGGAAATGGAAGTCAGGCTTCTCTTTGTGATGCTAAGCTGAAGGAAGAGGTGAAACAGACATAAGAAACAAAAAGAAAATTTTAGTCCTATGTTAAGAACTTGTACAATGAGCCTTTTTGGTATTAATAATGAAAGCACATTGCTTTTCTCTATACCTTGGTCTCAGATATTATCAATTCCACCCGTAAAAATAAGTTCAAATTAATTTTTTCGTGAGTGATCTTTTCTTAACATTATAATGAATTTTGCTGGATAGATTGAAACAAATCACACAAACTTAACCTGAGGTGGAAACATTCATTAAAACAAAACAAACCAAACATAAAACCCAACAAAACAAAATAAAAAAACAACCACAAAACCAGTTCATTATTTTCTCTTTCCAGTCAGTTTTAGAAAGGAATTAAAGGGTTTTTTTTTAATCCTCCCTACGTATTTTATTTAAACTACTCTGAATGGCATGATGCTAGTTTCAGATGGTTTCAGATCTAAATTAAAGCTATTCATTGTGGCTTTAATGCTGAAGGTTGTCTGCTTCCTGTGTAGTTTGGCCAGGTTTATCCATGAAGATGTATACTAGTAGCAAATACAGAACTTATTCAGCTTTCATTTCACTTGTTCTTTTGTGGTCAGGGTGGATTAGGAGGATTTGTGACTCATTCATGAGGAGCAAAGGCATGCTGCTGGGCTCTTCTGGGTATGGTAATACTGTTCATCTTGTATATTGCTGACGCTACCTAAATGTTCAAATAAAAAAATGTAGTCTGAGACTCATGCTGTTATAGGCAATAGAAAAGTTGAAGAGGAACTTTTTGAAGTTTTATTGGCTTCTCGAATATCTGTAAGACTTTGCTACCTCTGGTTTATGGTTCAAAGTCAGAGAAGTGGGCTCATGATTATTTTGGAAGAAGTTGAAAGCTGAAATGAAAGATGCATCTTGAAATGACATTTAAAATGCAACACCATATAGGACTTTTTATTTAGCAAAATACAAACAAGCTTTTCATGAGACCAAGATTATTTCATAACTGACTGAAAACTACCACATGCTTCATGCTGTCATATTCAAAGACTATCCATTTTCCTATCTTTTAAAAGCTTGTCCATTAGGCCATTTTCAAGTGTAAAGAAAAATAATGCATTGTGGTTCAAATTATAATAGAAATATGGGGGAAAAATAAAATTAGATCAGAGCTATGGAAGCAGATTAAACTGATAATAAAGTTTTAAAACTGCAAATACTTAATCCATAAAGCAAATTGTAGGAGAAAGATAAAATAGGTATTAAAACAGGGAAGACCAATGTAAATGTACTTTATTTTATGTATATTAGCAACTCCATATTTTCAGAAGTAATTATATTTAATAGTAAAAGTAGAAGAGATATTCATGGATAAGTATTGGAGAGATCTCTTCTTCTGGGGCCTTTCTGCATATTCCAATCATAAACTTTCTTTTTTTACATTAATTTTTTTTTAAATTTTATACTATTTACTGGATTCTGACCTCTTCTCACTTCCCTGGATGTTCTCTTGGTGATAACAGGTGACAAAAGCCACCTGGTGATCATTATTTTCTAATGGGAATCACTAAAATCCAAAATATTTAGTTTGTCAAGCTCTGGTCCTATTTTAAAGATGGTAAAAGTGACTCATACTCAGCTAAGGATCCTTATTAAGAGTTTGCCTGCTTTTTTAATGCAACTTACTTTCTGGACTTTTTTTTTTTTTTTTTTTTTTTTTTGGTAACACCATGCCTTATTAACAAGTTATATATTTGCTTATTTAAATTATGGTTGTTCTGTTTGGATTCATTTTTTAATTGAGTCTTTCAGACACCGTAGAAATTTATTGACTAAGGCTTCTGTTTTATGTGACAAAAAATTACAGCCTCTGAAACTCTTTTCTCAACTGATTTACAATGAAATGCAAGCTGGCAGCCCTGCAAAAATATATGGCATACTATCCAATGTTGTTGTATATGAAGCATGAGGTGTTTGTGTGAACCAACAGTAGCACATGGAAAGAGAGTGTTGTTATAGCCTCAAATCCCTCCTTATTAGATTATTTTTTTTCCGTGACAATTCATTCAAAGCACCAAGTCCAAACCTGTACCAGAAAATTGCCTTCCCTGATGGATGCTTCAAAGACTGCATGTATGAGTTGTGGTTGAATGTTTCTAAACTTGCATTCACCTTACACTACCACACCTATTTTGTAATTTACAACATGCAAAAATCTTCATATTACTAAAATGGGGAGAGGAAGATGGCTATAGGCAATGATGGATATCATTCTGGTGATGACTATGGAGAGAAAAATCACCCTCCATGTGCACTGCTGGTTTGTTCTGCAGTTTTTCAGTTTGATGTGTATTGTAAGCTGCCATCTCATGACTGGCTTTCCAGAATAGTGTTGTGAGATTGGTACAGTGTCTGAATTGCTTGTAGAAAGTAGACTCTTGGCTTGGGCAAAAAGACTAGTGATTTTTGGAGGAGTTTTGGTTAAGTAATCCCGAGCTCGTGGGGATAGATCACTATGATAGTATCAGGCTGGAAATAAAGGCAATGGTATTTGACGTAGTATGTTTTGATGACTATTCAGTAAGTATAAGAAAGTCTTCCCTGAGTTAGAGAAGTCATTGTTAAATAGGAATGAGTATAAACGGAAGAAAATGTATGTGTACATTCTGCCATATTTTTTTTTCAGTTATACTGTTACGCCATGTCACCATTTGACTCAGGTTCAACAACAGTGCTCTCAATCCCCTCCCCCTCCCACCCAGGTAGGGAAGGAGAGAGAAAAAAGGAGAGTCACTTTCCTGGATTAAAAACTAAACTACGCAGCTTTAATTAAACACTAATGAGAAAAGAAAATATATACAATTATATACAGATATGTTCAGATATGTGCAAAAGCCTCTCACCTCCCCCCACTCCCATCAACTCCCAAAGCATCTCCTTAGCTGGGAACAGTCCTGAAAAACTCCGGAGCTGCTGGAGAAAGCACAGAGTGATGAAGGTCAGGAGAGCTTGAGGCTGGGGGTTGACGATGATGGATGGACGGAGTCCTCCCTGGATGCTGGCCATGGACAGAAGAGAAGGGACGAAGAAGAAGCAGGAAGGAAGTTGTCTTCTGTGATCTCTGACCTTCCTCTGAGCTTACATAGATATATGGAATGGAATATCTCTGCCCAATTTTGCTGTCTGTCTAACTCAGCCTCCTATGAGGGGGTCATAGATCTCCCTGTAGTGTCTGAACCGGCAGAGTGAAGGTGCGACCTTGAAGACCCAGCAGTTAGAAAAGCATTCCTCTCTTATCAGTCTTAGTTGGAACGCTCTGGTACTAGTTAAAAGAAAGCTTACTGAAGGAAAACAATAATCAGCAAAAGGAAAATTGGCTTAATCCTGGCTCAAACTAGGACAGGCCAAAATCTGTGTTTGAGTCTATGGGTGTAGAGACAATCCTGGCTCTTCTGTACAGAGTGTTCCCTGAAGACTCTCTCCAAAACTGCAGTGCCCAGCTGCAGTACA